AGGAAGGAAGGAAGGAAGGAAGGAAGGAAGGAAGAGAGGGAGGGAGGGAGGGAGGAAAGAACCAATTATTATTCTTATCGAAGGCATACCTTAGGTTCCTTCTTTTTACTCGTCTGTTCCTCGTCATCTTTTGGTTTGGAATCTTTAGGTGGGTCCAACAAGAAGCTCCCAACTTCCCAGACAGTAACGTAGCCCTCTGAATGAATGAAACAAGATCAATAACGCGACGCAGTAACAAACAAATGAGCTTTGAGGTTATTTGCTGATTTCCTGCGAGCGGGAAACTCAAGATATAATGACTCTCAAATTGCTTTCATTTTTAACCAATGAAAAAGTGACAAAATTCACATCATCTGATCAGATTGCACGAACTTCGTGAACCCCGTTACGCGTACAGTGTCGTTTCATACGGAATCTGCTCTAAAGAAGATACTTTACTTACTTGCGTCACCACTGATGACGTAATTACAGTCTACGTCAGTCGTTACACACGTGACTGCTGAGGCTTGTCTTCGTGTAACGGCACGAATCTCATTCAACATTCGTCCCTTGAATAAAACAAATTAAAACGAAAACTATTACAATGATTATTGCAAGATTAGAAGAGTGAATATAAAATTTGCCTACGTTCTGAGTGAAAGACTCGAGATGGTTGTCATGGCAACCATGTTTTAGGGCGAAAAAATGCTTTTGCCCTGTATTTTTTGTTGAGGAAATCTAAAAAACTTTATATTTGATTCCCCTCGTCTTGCACGTGTTTTGAATCAAAGCTAAGCCTCTCGTTTACGGCGGCACATGTGAAACGTCAATTGGAAAGTACGAATTTCTTCAGAATAAGCGAGGGAAACACGACAAACTCTCCAAGGTGTTTTTGCTGAGAAAGTTTGCAAAAGATAAAGTGAAAAACTGGAAGAAGATAGAAACGTGGCGGAAAAATACCTACTTCTTAATCTGTTTAGTGCGTATTACGTAAGACACATAAACAAACCTCAAGATTCCAGAATCGTAAATATCCATCGTGATGACAGGACAAGACAGCAGGATCACTGATGCGTAGGTATGGTGAATCAGTCTCGTTATCATCTTTTGCCTCATCATCATCATGTTTCTCATCATCACCATCATCTTTCCTGTTATCGTCGTCATCATCATTGTCGCCATAATTTTGTCCTCCATCAGACTTTATATCGACTTTGTCTCTCTCGTCTTCTTTCATTTCAACGTCTCCGTCATCTTGTACTTCACTGATTGAGCCGGATTTCTCTGGGGTTTTCTCCTCAGTTTCTTCCATGTGAGAGGTTGATTTTTCTGTTTCTAGTTCACTTTCTGATTCCTCTTCTACGGTATGAAGGCGAAAAGTCCTGAAATCCAAGAGAAAATGACTATCAAAATCATAGTCCGAAGGACCTACAATAGAGCTCTGAGGTACTCCGCGACTATAAAAATAATAATAAAGGGAGCATAATAGAACTCTGGGGAACTCCATAGTCATCCAAATAATATTGTTTAACGGACCCATGAAAGAGCCCTGGGGTACTCCGCGACCACCAAAATAATAATCAATGGAGCACTGGGATATTCCGAGACCATTAAAATTATATTCAACGAGGTCCATAATAAAGCCTTGCGGTACTCCACAAACCATAGAAAACTACAAGTGGAGAAAGGCAAAGCAAAAACCACGGTATATGTCCAACATTCATAGCGCCTAATTGCACCATCAAACTGGATGGCAGGAACAATACAATCGTCCAGAACATGAGAGAGAATTCAATTCCAGAGAGTTTCAGAATTAAACAAAACCTTTATACTAAAGAAACAATGATAGTTTTATTACTGATGCATCAACTCACTTTTCTCCGTAGATGATTGGTCTTCTAACTTTATGTACGAGGAATCGACAAGCATGTACAAGGCTTTGGTCTTCTCGACGTTGCCTTTTGGCTCCTCCACTATGTGGGCTTCCACTGGTCGCTGGCAACACGAACCTGCATGAGAGTCAAAAATGGCCGCAGATTTTAGTATGATAAATCATCGACTAACCGCACATGTGACATAGTTTGTTTCTGTGGTTCTCTCCCTTGCCACGAGCTCTTTTTCGAGGTTCTCTGGTTTTCCTCCATCAATATGAGTTCATAGTTGTATGCATAGAATATTGAATATAGTGGTGTGTGTGACCCGCAACACAAGATTATTCACGGGAGTAGTGCACGCTAACATATAAAAGAATATAAAATCTATGTGAAATCACCTTGATATAACTTTCTCCGTCTCCAAGTTCCACATTATTATCGCACCGTCACTGGTTCCGGCCATTAACAGAGACCCACTGCAGTCTTCAAGACACGTGACTTCACAGGACCTTTGCAAGTTCATCTAGAAGAAAACAAAAGCATAATGACTTATTTACGATCTCTTTACCTTCCCCTCATCATCCCTCATCACTGCTCTAACACTTCACACTGGTAAAATTTATCGACTTGAGATGTTGGAGATGAGCTGGAAATATGTTGGAAGAATAGTTGAAGTTACAGTCTTCCAACACTTTGGACTATTCCATRGTATGGAAATATGTTGGAAGTCGTCACTTCAACATATTTCCATTATATGGAGCGCGCACGATTTTTCTATTGGATCACCAGCTTGAGTATTCCAATCGAAAAAAGTATGCGCAAATATGTAGTGAAGTTAAAAATCTTTACAGTAAATGCCTAGTGGTTGGGGTAAACATAAGATATGGGTCATGCCATCTCGTCGATGCACCAAGCATAGCCTTTTATGCGTTTGATAAACAGATTGCATGGTGGCCTATTTTTGCTACATACAACATATAGTAATGTATAAATTGAACAAAAGATGTTTGTACCCAAGCTACACCACAATGCAACACGTTCGGTATCTCAAAAACGATTTATTACATTGAATTAGTGTCGTATAACCATGGGTAGCGCCGCGCTCTCTGGATACAAAAGCGACAGCAATATTTTATTAGATGCATACCTGTTTCAAGGAGTTAGGTTCTTGCCCAATACCTGGAAGTGGCGCTCTAGATATGAACGGCGTGGGACCCTCTAATAATGATCAAAGAAACTCTTTTAATAAAAAATGTTGTCTTGTTAAAGAGATTGCTATAAAACATTTGTGTTTGAATTTCAAAAAAAGCCCATGTCTTATAGAGCGTTTTCACTTACGTGACGCGGCGGCCATATTGGTGTACCAAACAGTAGAAACTTTCTGCACAGTTTTTGCATATAAAATAGAGTTCAATTCCCGGAGGATAGAAAATGTATTGCTTTGGTCAACCAACATGGCCGCTGTGACGTCACGTGAAAAAACTCTATCTAGATTGAACCTATGGAAGATAGGGCACAATATATACGTACCCGGTACAGCAATAGAATTTGGTGGAGTGAATGAATCACTCAGGATTCTCAGCTCAGAAAACATCGGTAGGTCATAACAATCCTTCAAAGGACGAAAAATAATCAAACAATATATAGATAGTATATATATACATAACCAAAGAAAAATTTTTCGCGCGCTGTCACTGGTGCAAAGGGGTCACGTGGTACAATTATAAAGGACTTGGGAACAGTTTATTTAAAGAATATTAGTTGAGAAACTAATTTCCCCGTCTGGGATCAGTTGATGGTTTTCACGGCGGCCATGTTGGAGGAACTTAACAAAAGAACTGTCAATGAATTCTTTTGTTATATCCTCCAACATGGCCGTCGTGTCTTTTGTTATTTAATTCTCTTGGGAATGGTTGAAAACCATCAATAGAGGATCGAGCCTTCCGTCTAAGTTTTATTAGTACATTCTTTAAGTAAGGGTGAATGTCCATCGGCTGAATGTTTGAATTCAAGACATAAATTGAAACTATCGCACGAAGCGTACACGAATGTTAAGGAGTTGGCAATGACTTACCTCGAGAATTCTAATGCCTTTACCCCACGAAGACACGAATAAACAACGTCTGTCTCCAATGGTGTGATACACTAGACCCGTGATCGTGTTCTCTTGGTGTTTACTGGGCTCGTCTGGGAACGACTTGTATAACTGTCCACTTCCAAAATCCCATGCCTTGATCGAACCTGAATCGATACGATTATTCTAATCAGAAATAAAGCTTCGACGAGTTGTGAAAGCACAGGACGCCCAATTCAGATAATGGAAGTAAAATCAAAATTAAAATCAAAGCAAATGAATGTTTATCATTTTTTGAAATTCCTGTTTGAAATTAGTTTAAAATTGTCAACTTCAGCTTTAAGTAGAGAAAACGTTATGAATGAATTATGAAGCGTTTACCTTGCTGCTCTTTGTTGTTTTAGCTTTTGGGATGCCTGTGAACAGGGGCGAGCGAGGACGCGCGCGCGAAAAAATGCGCGCGAATGTTTTGTCATCAACGTCAGTAGCGCGCGCTCTAACGTAACAATGATCTTAAAAAAGACTTTGATTGGAGAAGTTTTGAGTGAAGTTGCGAGAATATAAAAGTGCTTGAGAAAACGACGAAAAATCCCAAACGATAAAATGCTTAACGGACAAAATGGACAGCGTGGTTCGGTTTCTATGGATACCTTCCAGTCATTTACCAAAGAATCTTGTGTCACTGTTTCGCAAGATACATGGAACGGTAACGTTTATGGCTACCCAGCAGCTGCTGGAGCGTGTTTTCAGCAGGCTGACCGTGTTATGCCACACTCTACGCCTAACGGCGCCACGAATGTCCAGCAGCAAAGCCAGACACATCACGTTACAAAGTATGTACAGATGCCTTTAGTCTCTAATAGCTCAGTGTGGTACGAAAATGGAGGCGCTACGCCATCGTACGGTTCGTTCCCCGGTAACACCTTCGACCTCAGAGCAACGGGAGGTTATGTATATGTCTACCAGCCCTTGTATTGTGTATATGATCAGCCCAACAGTGGCTTCGCACAACAATGTCAAGTTTATCAACACGACTCTTCTGTTAGTGTGGGCGGTTATTATCAACAAATTAACTCCTGTCATTCACAAGGAGCCAACGACGTGGCTGGTGGTTCAAGAGTTGGTGGAGGAGTAGAGTCTGATGGTATGACATCGTACTATGAACAAGTTAACCAGTACAGTCAGAGCCAACAGTATGGAGGTGCTTCCTCAGTCAGCAGTGTCAAAGTTGTTCAGTCAGTTGATGTAACGTCAAAAGCACCCAGAACCCAGTCAGACCTGCCCATGTTTGCTGACTTCAACAACAAGGGACCAGCACTCGAGTGGCCGTACGAAGGGGACACACAAACTGAGCAACAACTTGGTGTCGTGATTGAAGACGTAGACGATCTTGAAGACTATGTAACATTCCAGGACAAGGAAGAACAAAGACAAAACGAGTCTAGTTGTGGAGTTCAGATAGAGGAGATATTTAGTCCAGTATACAATGAAAGTAACAGTGAAGACGAAACTCTACAGGACTTTGAATACTTCGAAGACAAACAAGAGTTCGAAGAATGGGACCTCAGCCTTCACATTCCAGGACAAGAATCCATCCTAAATGAAGAAAACATGGAGGTATTGAGAAGCAAATTGAATGACTGGTTGTCTGCAATGGAACCACAAGAAATACAAGAGGTAGTCGTAGCTACAGCTAAAGAAAGTGAATCCGTCTCTTCGCCTGCGGAAGGCAAGTTCCTTGTAAGCTTGTCCTCTGAAAAAATCCCTGAGCAGGCTTTCTCATTAATCAACACAAGCTCGAACTACAAAGAGGAGAAAGAACGCCTTCCATGTGTAGATGAAATTGGTTCCCTAGATTTAGAAGAGAATCCAAAGACAGACTTGGATAACCCTGCAGCTGAAGTCATTGACTCCAAAACTGTTACGAATCCAAGCAACCAGACGACCAAATTTTTAAGAGGATGGCGAAGATATGTCAAGGCGCTTGGTGGCTTCGTTTGCAGTGCCTTAGAACAAGTAGCAAAGTGCTACATCAAGAGACGTTTATTGTAAATTAATATATAGTACTGTAGTCAATAACTATTCAGGGTCATGACGTATATGCTGGTGAGCTAATCCCGCGCTGAGGGGAATGTCTTCCGGTCGCCTGCTCATAACGTGTCAAAAGAGGCAAAATAAGTCATATAATAAAACATACCATCGTATGCTCCTGTAACAAGTCTGTAGCCTGTGTTATCTATGTTCATAGCTGTGATTTCATTGGACGGGCCGTGAGCATCCGGGASCTGGTAAATCGCTTGACCTGTCTCCATTTCCCAGACCTGAAAAAGATGTACAGTAGATTCCCTTAGTGCTTATAGCACTTAGGAGTGGCAGGGAAAAAAAGTAGCTGCATGAGTTTTTATTTACCTTCATGATTCCTTCAGTACACACGCTAATGACTTGACTCATGTGAGGATTGTAGAGAAGCTGAAGAAAAATGTGCGGATATTCATGTGGTTAACGATCTGACTAAACCAAAGTTACGACGCGCAACTCCCACCCTCACTCCTTCCCACCCTCCCTCTTCCTTCTCACTCCTTTATTCCCTCCCTCCCTTCCTACACATCTTCCCTCTCACTCCTTCCCTTCTTCCTCCCCTCCCTCGTCTCTCCCTGCCACCATCTTTACTGCCCTCCCTCCCTCCCAACCTCCCTCCCTCCCTCTCTTTCTATCCACCCTCCCTCCTTTCCTCATTATGTCCCCCCCTCCCCCCAAAAAATCCTCTTGAATCCATCCCTGACGTTGCCTAAGGATCTGGCCTAGGGTTGCTACGGTACCTGAGTTTGGCCATATAATAACTGATCACTAACCGAGCGGTCGAACTTACCTGGCTAAGTGGTCTGTCATGAGTATGAGGTACTTGTAATGAATCCTGTATAGCTCTTGTTAACGGCCAAGTATCAATGACACTACAACCTAAATGAACCCATATACATATAAGTACATTCGAAATCATTGTTCAAATACGAAAACACAGAGAAACGCAATTCTACGGGTTCGTCTCCTTATTATCCGAACGGCTTGGGCGGTCAGTGTTTTCCGACTAAATAATTAGTGCTAACACAATAGAACCTCGTTAATACGGGCACAGAAGGTAAATGGCCGTATTAAGCAGGTTCATCGTAGAGTAAATGCAATTTACTGGATATTAGCAGGGCGTTCGTATTAACAAGGTGGCCGTATCATTTCTTTAGTTTACCTGTTATGAGTCTGTCGTTCTTGGCATCAAATAGCATGGATGAAATGCGCTTCTCTCCTGGCCGCACCTCGTTATCCGTAAACACCTAAGAAAAAAAACACAAAGGCCTGCGTATAATGCTTATTGTTTGCTGGTGTTGCAATAGGAGTTGCCCGAAGAGAGGCTATCAGGTCGAGCCATTTCACATTCGTGCGTGCACTCGGGCTTCCGAACTGTGATCTTAGAACTGTGATCCGGGGTTATAAATTGACTTTATAGCGGCTTAAAGAGGTGCCTTCGTATGCTTCCAGTTTGTGTTTGGAGATTAGCGATAAACTCTACATTGGACGTACTACAAGGGTTTTTTTTACCTGAAGGCATGTTAGAGTTTGGATATCCCACACTCGAAAAACCTAAAACAAGACGATAACAAAAATTCGTTATTTATATATTTTCAATTATTAAGAGACATTTAGGAATTAAAAATTAGTTCCAAGGAGATCCTATAATATGACACGAAGTTTCTTACAAAAATCAGTCTCTAATAGGGTTTTTTTAGAAAGCAAAAATGCAGAAGGTAGCTTTTCTGGGGTGCTTACCGTTAAACCAATCGAGTTGAAAATTTAATTGCTAATGGTGAGAAAAGAGCGGGAAGCTGTTACTTCTGACAAATGGTACACGCGTCTACCGTACAAATCGAAAAGAGCGAGAAAAGTTGATTACCTCAATCGGAAGACCGAGTTTTCTGGAACTTTCCAATCGGAATGGCACATTTTCCAACCGAAATTTCTGGTTTTTCCAGGTAAACGGAAAGCGCCCCTGATAACGAGCGTTTGAAATAAATAGTTTCATTCATCCTCAATTAACACACTTTCCATTAGACAGCGTTTTGGACTGTTCTACCGGGTTGCGTAATTATAAAAATAGGTGTAAAGATGGGTTTACTTACACGTGCTGTAGAGAGACTGATTAACTGTTGGTCTTTTTCGTTGACACAAACCTCCACTATTGTAAATAAGTGACCAAGCAGCTTCCCTGGAAGACGAAAATAAATAATAATGCACGCCATTCAAGTCAGCGGGAGAAAAGGAGGTATGGAAAAAAAACAGGAAGGTTTGGACTGGAGGAAGGAATGGAGGGAGGGAGCGAGGGAGGGAGGGAGCGAGGGAGGGAGGGAAGGAGGGAGGGAGGGAGCTACCTAG